CAAAGAGAGGCCAAAAATAAGCCAGAATGATCAGAATTCTCGGGGCTGCATATAGAAGCAAAGAGAAGGATAGCCATATTGCTAGTGCTGTGATGATGTGGTGTCTGTATTGAAGAAGCTTTTCTGGAACATCCATGGATGATGATCTAACTACAATGAGAAAAGGAGCAGAATTAAGGGACGAGAGAGAGAGAGAGAGACAGAGATTGTTGTATTTTCTAGGAATTTCCTGTCTGATAGCTTTATATGTATCACTGAAAGATTCTGGATGGGAAATGATGTTTCAAATGATTTTTTCTAAAGCTTGCTTGGCCCACATGCCACAAGGTGCTTAACAAGTCACATTCATTTCCCAAATTATCCTCCCGTACTGACTTTAATTCCATTAGCTGAACCAGTCCACTAAAGATAAGATACGAAAATATATTATGCTTACATCCTTTTTTAGTTTTTTACCAATCCATGTGTTTAAGGATTACTAATAATTATAATTGAAAAAAAAGTATAAAACAAGATTCAAATGAGTATTGTAATATAATGAAATTAATTTCTTTAACCATTTATGTTAATATTTTTAAATATTTAAACAGATTATTTATTTATTTTATTTTTAAGGAGTACATATATTAAATATCATGTAAATAGATAAACTTTAACATGTGAATATTTAAAATTAAATCATATTAACACAATACGTATGAAATAAAATATTTACTGTTTCTATAATATCACTATTAAAATATTTTAATGGTAGACATTAATTTTAATTGTTTAGTTTTTTAAGTGTGAGTGGACTTAAGCTAATGTGTGAAGTTTTATATCAGATAAAGTTAGACTTAATAATTAATATAAAATAAAGAGGAATAACCCATAAAATTTAGCCTTAAGATTTTAAATTAAAATATGATTTTTTCTGCCAATCTTGCTCATTTCTCCTTCCCTATTTTCAAACAGCCACTTCCTATTCTTAATAAGTGATATTATAATCAGGTTTCACCTGAGACATGTAAGCTTATTGTTGTGTACACCTTTGAAGTTCCAAAATGGGATTGGCCTTGACTATAATGAGGACTTAAATGCGCCACATCATTTGAAGCTCATAAAATTAGGTTAACCTAAAATAAGAGACTTGGTATTTGGAGTGTCTTTAATTTGAGAAGTTTGTATATCACACTTGAAGGGAAGATTGTAAAGTTGTTCAAGTATATGTGGACTTAAGATGATGTGAGAAGTCCAACATCAAACAAAATTGAGTTTAATAACTAATATATAATAAAAATAAAAAACACATAAATTTGAGTTTTAAAAATTTGAGTTAAGATGTGACATCTATCATTATTCTAATTTTGTACATTTCTCCTCTTTCCTAATGGTTACTTTCAAGTAATTTTATCTTGACAATTGTAAAAATTTACTTTCAACAGTGTTTCAAATGTAAACAAATTATTTTTTTCATTAAAAAAATAATAACTTGATTTTTTTGTGCCCTATAAAAATATCATATTTTATAAGGAGAATTATGTTAAATAAATTTTATAATAATTATTTTTTATATATAAGACTTATTTATAATTCTCTCTATTTTATATATGCATGTTTTTACACAAACACGCATATATAAAACATATTAAACTGTATTTATTTCTGCATCATCTTTCAAGAAAGAAAAGTGTAACCTAATTCTTACGTGGCATGTCAAATCAAAACATTAAAGGGACTGGATTTATTAGAGAGATTTGGATGGAAGGGACAAGAGATAAGGAAGGGCTAGAGGGTGAAGTGGAAATAATAATTATTAGGAGGACCGCGAATTAAAAAAGGGAGATAATGGAGGGGCAAAATAGTAATTATAGAAGGTGGTTGATGGGAATGGCCACAGAATAGATTCTCTGTCAGCTTGCTTCACAGGTCGGTTGGCAGTATTCCTCCTTTTCCAATTCCTAACAAAATTGAATGAACCTCCCACGAAAGGCATTGCTTCTTATTCTTCCTTTTCCATAATGGAGGATTATCAACTCATACTACTTTATTATTAATCTCAATTAAATTAATATCCAACACAACACCTAGTAGCCCAAGTTTCGTTGTTCTTATTCTTTTCTTCTCTTTTGCTCTTTAATTTAAGATTTTTTTACCCTCCATCTTTGGATTCAGTTGACTCAAAATCAAGTCCTCTCACATAATGGAGGAAATTTGATTTCTAGATTGGTCGAGGCCTTAGAAGAGGTATTCTAGCTCCAAAATACCTAAGTAAATGCTTGAGTGTAATTGACGGCTCGCCTTGCCTGACGTTGGTATCACCTTGGAGGAATGAAGGTTTTGCCCTGTCCTTGAATTGTGAGCAAACTCAGCCCCCTTCCAAAAATCTTTTTATCAAAAAAAAAAGATTTCTTTATATTCTCAGACAGTACCTCCTCCAAGTGAGACCTTGATTTATATACACCAATATTAATTTCTCGGTAAATATACAAACAGTGATCAGATAAATTCAAGTCTTTCTTTTCTTTGGAGATTCATAAGCTTGTTGGGTGAATTGCATGTAACCATTGGTATCATGCATGAGTTTATGCAAGTGGATCCCCATCTTTTTGACAAGCGAGAATGACAATTAAGTATTAACAAATAATTAATAATAGTTATTAGGTCTCCAATAATTTTTTTTTCGACAATTAACTTGTAAATATCAAGTTATATGATTATATATTCAAGAGTTTTATTTGTAAATAAGACATTTAAAATTCTAAATATAACTGTCGGATTCCTATTTATAATTGTCTAATTGTAATAAACTTCATCATTTAGAACTTTATTGTCATTCTCATAGTTTATAATTAGGTGTGTCCAGTCTTTTGATGGAGTCTCTTTTCATGTTTTGATGGGTATTGTTATCACGTTCGTTTATCATAATATTGAATTAAGTACTATGAATGATAATGACGGAAAGAATTTAAAATGTTTTGACAACCTCTATTTTATTAATCCTTTATAGGATCAACTGAATTGCTCCCCCCCCCCCCCACAACGGAGTAGTTCTCAAAGTCTCCAAATAAGAGATGTTTTTTTTTTCTTTTTTTTTTTATTTTTTAAATAACTAAAAGTTCTACGTTCTTTCTATATTAAAATATGCATAATTTCATGCATAGACATAACTTCCTTTAACGGGAGAATGCCTTAAATAAAAAAAGAATATGCATAATTTCGCAAGTTCAAAAGAAAAAACAATAAAAGTGCTACATTCTTTCTATGAGATCTATCACATGATGCTAATAACTTTGAGGTAAGGGGTAACCTTCAATCCCATTGAGAAGATGACATCTACCACTCACATTGAGGTAAGATGTAATCTTCATGTTAAAGTGGGAGGCAATTAGTTAAGGTTTAATGACAAAAAAATATTTTAGTTTTTTGTTATTAATTATTTAATTAGTTTTACTTAATATTTTTAAAAGTATAGGTATGAGGATTATTTTTATCCATCCTTTTATTTTGTTTGTATTTAATCTTATCCTGTCCCCAATATAATTAATTGGGAAAAAGATGGTCTCTTAATTTTTTTTTTTTTGGTTGTTACTCTTTACATGAATATAGGCAACAAGAAATGAATGAGAGCTTCGTGTGGGCCGAAGATTTTCTTGTTGAAGCCCACAAAAACCCTTCTATTTTGGGGATGTTCATTAGACAGGGTTCAAACGTATCATGCTTTGCTTGAGAACCTGGAATGAGTTATATTTAGTCAAGTCATTTCTCATGGCCCTGCAAAAACCAGCCATTGAAGCCCATTTTAAGTACAAGCACTTTTTGAATGAAAATATTTAAATTAAATGCTCATCTTTAATGTTTTATTGGTAACTTTAATTTTCGATAAAATTATGATTTTTTTTTTGCCAGATAAAATTATGTTATATGAAAAGCCTAAACATATAAGATTTTTTCTCTATAAATCTATAAAAACATTTATATATTTTGTCTTGAATATTACAATAGTAAGAATGGTTATGTTATGCATTATGTATTAATCTATACCACCTATCGAATTTCTCATTTTGAATCATATTGGATGATAAATGAGAAAGAAACTCTCCAATGTAACACTTTTTCCATTTACAAGAAGATATTGTCTTAAGGGATATCAAATTCCTTCTACTCTACGAAATCACTGTTATTTATTTTATTTTGAATATACATATAAATATTCCCTTAAAGAGTATGATAATATTGAAAAATATTGTATTGCTCTCTTTCTGTTTTGGATTCATTCACCAAGTTATAAATGGCCAAAAAGAATCAACAGTTTATGAAACATATGTAATCCTAATAATTAATATCCACCATCAATATATATAAATATTAACCAAATATAAGTCAATTATTCAAGAGAGATGGATAATAGTCCAATCGCTTTCCATGGAGCTATCAATATAGGTACATGCTTCTTGTTAATCATCTTCAAATAATCCTATGATTTATTTTTCTAGATAATATCAGAATATAATATGTTAATGATAGTTTCTCTAATTTATCAGCATTAGACAATCAGAAATCATCAATTCCTCAGTCAATTTTTTATCACATTCTTGATTAAAAAACACATGTTAATAATACAATTGAGTAGATCATCAAACCATACAATATTATAGTTCAATGAACAAACAATCAAACATCAAGAAGAAAAATACTATTATTATTATCATTATATATATATATATATCAAAACTAACCAATGAACAAAAAAAAATAGTTAGGTTGAATTTGATTCAGACTGAGTTGCTAGACAACAAAATTCATATTTGTCAAAGTATTATTTCTTAATTTAGAAAACGTTTGCTCAATTTACCTAACCCAAACTAATTAAAATAATTAAGGCTTAGCTGCATCTCACTTTCATCCACATCACCATCAAACAAGAGTCAGTAACAACACAATTCAACAGAGAAATTATTTATGCTCGTATCACTGAAATCCAAATGAACTGTTTTAAGTTCCTTATTTATACATTTTATGTCTTTGGTCTTGAAATAAGTAGTAGTTGTTGTTGGTGAAATCTTCCTTGGTCGCCATGTTAAACCTGAAAATGTGCAGACCAAGTACTGCCAAGTGTAGCAATGTGCTTTTAAGGGGGAAAACAGAGAGAAGCTGGTTTTAAATTTTATTGAAATTAAACTTTTAAGCAAAGATGGCATTAATTGACAAGTTGGGTGATATAAATATGAAAATATGTAAGTTTGTCCTTTGAAGCCACTTTAGTTCATTGCTTTCAAAGTAGAGTCATGACTGCTTCATTTTGGTTTCGTAGTTAGAAATACAATCTTGGAGTGTCTGACTTTAGAAAAGAGAATGATATAAGCACTATTTTAGCGCTTAAGCAATTCAACAATCCTATGCTGCTTTGTTTCCATTGACATAGACAGACTATGACAATGTCATAATTCATTGTTCATCATATTATTTCCCAATATTCCTCTATTATATTGGTTACGTTGCTTCAAATTCTAGTACCACCTTTTTATTGTAAGTACTTATAGATTTAAAAAAAAAATTGGTCTCTATTTTAACATAAGTAATTTACATTCCAGTATGCTGTTGTTAGCTTGCTGTTTACATAGAACTAAAAACTAAGTATACATTTAATATTTATAATTTGATCTTTAATTTTGCAAATATATAGCACTAGCATTATTTGACCCACATGAGGCTTTTGCTAACAATAATAAATTTCCCAAACCCAACACACTTGAATTAATGCGCAAAAAAATAAAAAATAAAAAGGTTCTAGAACATTATAAGAAATAAAAACATTTTTTAAAAAAATGGGGAAGAAAAAACTACTCAAGCAATTTGTAGAAGACCTACCCTCAGTCACTGTCATCACCTAGGTGACAAAGCTACAACAGTTGGATAACAGCATTTTTTTTCCCCTTCCTTAGCCCAAAATAATTAATATTTATGCATTTTTCACATCTTACTTGAAGCCCAGTCATGCTTGCTTCAACATAGAGCAAGGTCATTTCATTACCGTCAATTCTTTATACGAGTGGATTCAGTCATCTTTGTACAGAAACTTCTATCATACTTATTTATTTAACCCACCTAGCGCACCTTTGTTGTTGGTGATTTTGGACTCTGCATTTTTGTCCTTTTATCCACCACCCATAACCAAACCAAAACAAATATTACTATATATATATATAACCCTCTAATCTCCCAACTCATTGTTGAATTGTACGAACCTGTCTCTGCATTTTTATGTTTCAAAGAAGCAAGAATGGTAGGGTACGAAGAACATGTTGAAGAAGAGCTTCCACTTGTGCAGACAGACCCAGCTGTGCTGGAGATTGATCGTTTGCAAAACCAGCTCAAAGGTTCATATCTCTGTCTTGTTCTTCCCTCTTTTCTGCATTATTTTCTCTCACTTTTGGTTTTCCAAGAGCCTTGACCAGGTTCCTGAACGTAAATATGACACAGATGGTGTTAGCATGAATGGAACTTCAGAGAATGTTTCTGCATGTCTTGTGGTAGATTATAGTTGAATTACTTGATTACTGTTATAGTATTGCAAAGCTGTTTAGCACTCTGCTGTTTGACATTACATCTCATATGTTAGGGTCAAGATAACACTATACAAAATACCTCTGGTCATTTAAAAGCCGACCCCACCACTATTTTCTTCTGACTTTCATCATTCTCAAATAATTTCGGCTTCACAGATTGCATATACCATCTAGCAAGGGAATGATACTTCTCTTATGCATACCCAAAATGGACAAGATGAATACTGTATAAGAATGATCTTTAGTACTTTTTCCAAGTCAACTGTCTATGCTGTACTAAATTTTGACCTCATGATTGCAGAAAAAATCAAGGAACTAGCCACTTGCCAGTGTGAAATCAAGACCTTAAGGGCAGCTGAAGCTCTTAAAGAAAAGACTATAGAACAGGTATATCCTTCTAGATTCCATATCAGTTATCACACACAACACCCCATATAATTTAAACTTGGAAACATGATTAGCTGCTATAATCCACATGTATCGTAAGGTGTTCAACTCATGATAAACCAAAGTGTGCACAACAAATTCAGTTTCACGGCATACTTGTAAGAGAAAAATACGTATAAATTTCTCTGAATTCCTACTAATATTTCTGTGAATCTTTTTACTCCAATTTCAGCTGACAACTGAAATAAATAAACTGGATGAAAAACTTCGAATTGTGGAGGATATCATTGAACACAAGGTGTGTAATTGAGCTAATAGTATATGTTGGAAGAGTGAACAACATTGCTGGACTCTAACGCATCTTTCAAAAATATGATCATATGCAGAATCTTGAAATCAAGAAACTTGCCGATGAAAAAGAAGACGCACAGGCTGCACAATACGCTGCAGAAGCAGCTCTTAGAAGGTTACACGAAGATCAACGGGATGATGATTCTGTTCCGTTGGAGAGCATCATTGCTCCTCTTGAAGCTGAGATTAAAATGTACAAGAATGAGGTACACCTAACGAAACTTTCAGGACTTCAAAAATATATTATAGCATGAATAAATAGCAAGTACTGACAGTACTAGCATCTGTCTTGCCTTTAGATTTCAGCATTACAAGAAGATAAGAAAGCTTTGGAGCGACTTACAAAGTCAAAAGAGTCAGCATTGCTTGAAGCGGAGAGGATTCTGCGAAGTGCATTGGAAAGGGCTTTAATAGTGGAGGAAGTTCAAAATCAGAACTTTGACTTGAAGAGACAGATTGAGATCTGCCAGGCATGATATTCTATCCTTCCTTTTACACACTAGGTTTCACTGCTGAATTTGTAAGTGGTTCAACCAATTTGTAACTACCACATAAACAGGAGGAGAACAAAATCCTAGAGAAAACCCACCGCCAAAAGGTTTTGGAAGTGGAGAAGCTTAGCCAAACCATTCAAGAACTTGAGGAGGTCATCCTATCAAGTGGAGCTACTGCAAATACTATTCGTGATTATCAGCGACAGATTTCCGAATTGCAAGTAGGCATATCCTCTGGCTACCGGAATTCTAGACTTGTTTGCTAATGTTATGACCTGCTAGTTTATCTATGAGGTAACTTGATTTAGCTTAAATTTTCAGGAGGAGAAGAGGATGCTAGAAAGGGAGTTAGCAAGGGTAAAAGTTTCAGCCAACAGAGTTGCAACTGTTGTGGCTAATGAGTGGAAGGATGAAAAAGACAAAGTAATGCCCGTCAAGCAATGGCTGGAAGAAAGGAGGATAATGCAGGTCTATTTCTTCACTCAAATTCTCAAAATACTACCCCCTTTGTTCCTAATTATAAGACGATTATGGAAGTTATGGTATTCTTATATCCAAGACATTTTACAAAATTTTAGGAGTAATTAATATTTTTTTCCTAAAATGCCCCAAACAATGATTTAAAAGACTTGGCCCACCTGATAAATAAATGAGCATCCCTTCCCATGCACAAAAAGTCGGAGTATTCATTTTGGAAAGATAGGAATAATTTTTTTAACATAAACTAATTTAAATGTTTTCTTGGTTGTGTTAGGTAATTTTTTCTTATAAAAAGGAATGGAGGGAATAGTTTTATATCAGTCATACAGCATTGATGCTGATAACTCTATGATCCAATTATATAAAAATCAGAGTTTAATCAACAGAAGCTTGGAAGTATTAACTAATTTTGCAGAAAAATGGGAAGACTTCTCACCTTTAAGATAATAAATTCAGATCAAGCAATGATCACTATGATCAAAATATACATGCTAGTGTATGCAGGCAGAGATCCAACGGTTGAAAGACAAACTAGCAGTATCAGAGAGAACAGCCAAGGCAGAAGCACAACTGAAGGTATTTAACGGTCTTCTGTATGAACACTTAACACAACTTTTCAGTTATAATTAATTTAGTGTTTTGTTCAGGATAAACTAAAGCTACGATTAAAAACGCTAGAAGAAGGCTTGAAGCATTTCTCCTCCAATTCCAATGCGACTTCTGGGTATCCAAAAGCAGAAAAGCCTAACATCTTTGGTTTCCTGACAAACAATGGTGGAATAAGAAAGAGATCTACGTCGCAACCAAGAGCAGCTACCATGGGAAGCTCTTTCTTCCTGAAGTCAAATGATAAGAAAACAACAGACATTGTTGCTGGTGACCTAGCAGAAAATGTGTTGAAGAAGGGTATCTGGGCATCAAGAAGTAAAATAGCCGATAGTGATGAAAAAGAAAATATGGTTCGGGCGAACACACAAGTAGATTTAAATAGGTGCACTGATGAAAGAGAAGCAGCGCAAATTGAACCAAGCATCAACACGGATGAACGGTCCAAAAGCAAGAAAAATAATGATATGGGCAGCAACGATGTGGTCTCAGGTTTTCTATACGACAGGCTTCAGAAAGAGGTTATCAGTTTGAGGAAGTATTGTGAAGTTAAAGACAGTAATTTGCAAGCCAAAGATGATGAAATAAAGGTAGTTTTAACAGCTATCCCACCAACCCCACCCCCCAAAAAAAAAAAAAGACAGAGAGAGAGAGAGAGAGAAAGCGAGCTTCTTTACCCTGTTCTTAAATGGAAGACACGAAATATTGTTTTTCAGATACTCACGAAGAAAGTTGATGCACTGACAAAGGCAATGGAAGTAGAGTGGAAGAAAATGAGACGAGAAGCAGCTGCTAGAGAAAAGGAAGCTGCATTAGCAAAATCAGAAAATAACAAGAAAAACAGGAGCACAATCTCCTCCAAAAGGTTAAGTAACATTACATTGAAATTGGCTTATATCTATTCAAGATTTTCACTGTCTAACATTGGACCTTATATTATTCCATTGTTGCAGGGTGATGAAAGAACATTGAAGATCCTTTATTTGGATAATGTTGAAGGCAAAGTATATATCAACGGTGTCTTGCGATTTTTATATGTAAATACAAAAAAGAATTCGTGATGTAATTTATTGAAATAAATTCCCACAAGGGACTGTGGGAATCTCGTCTGTACATGCAGCAGTGTTCAATGTCTTTGTGTACATTTGGATAAATGATAGACTATTTTGTGAGTTTTTACACAATCAAAGCTGTCAAACGAGCAGTAATGGCAAAAGACTATGCATCAGTAGGAGAAGGGATTATGAAGACGACTTGGAAAACAGTAGGGAGGCACGGATGATTGTATGCGATAAAGTAAAAGGGAGAATCTACCTAATGGTTATAGAAAAATAAAATCTGGGTTGTTTTTGAGATTTGCCTTAAAAGGATATCTTCAAACATCTTCACAACATGAATTGACGTTCACTTTCTGTCAAGCATCGAAGACATTGACACGGGGTAACCATGGATTAATCAACTCAAATGAAGTATCATCTTCTCAATGGTTCATCCAAGGAACTTGAAGGAATCGAAACAAAGTGTACATTAGCGGTAATTTGTTTGCTCACTCTTTCCATTACCTTCAAATGATTGAAATAGGCAAAATGGTAAATACACTTTATCTCCTTAGCATATATGACCTGCCATCTTTGAGTAAATTGATGAAGATCAAGGCAGTGTGGGTCTACGAGATGCCTGAGTTTTACCCTCATTACTATGGGATACTTAAACGGGTTGATTTTTCCACCTCAATAAATAGGTTTCGGAAAAGATTTCCTACCTCATTTGGGTGACCATCAAAATTTTACAATCACCATACAAAACCTGGCTCCACAATTGCTTATCGGAACATTCTAAAATGCAATAATCATACCGCTTATTATATGCAGCGCTCTTTTGGAATCGTGGCCAAAGAAGGCTTCAATTTCGACACCTTGTGATACAGAATTTTCCCTGAATCAGGCAACTTATTTTTGGATTGAAATTTCCACATTCCACTCAACAAAACAACTCCCATAATTCCTTAGAGTCACCAAAACTATGATTTTCCTAGTCTTCAGCTATACTACTGCCGGTGGTCTTAGAAGGTAACAACGGCTTCACAAAGCTTGTCAGGAGTGACGTGGAATTCTAAGCTTCTCCATCCTGCTATACATACATTCAAAGGGTGCGTACAAGAAATCTAAAGCCCACCACTTTCACAGTTAATGCTTCTCAATAATTTTTATTTATTTATTTATTTTTTTGGGGTTGGGGGGGGGGGAACCTTAAAGTGTATTTACAGGCTGTTTTCCTGTTGCCAAAAATCTTGAGCCTTTATTGTCTCTTGACTTTGATTCACGATTTGCATGCAAACCCTTCGAAGCCTTGGTGCATGCATTGGTATGCCAACTGATGCATTAAATATCCAGCATATAAGGAATTCGAGCATCTGTCCTTGACAAAACTTTCTCAAGAACTCTGGCAGCTCTCAACACAAGGAATTTGACACTTCGTCTATTGGCCAACAACAGTTCAACTTGGTGCAGGCATTAGCATACAAGAGTTGAAAATTCGCACCAGCCATTTCATGATGAAATTGGCAGCATAGTTGTCCCCTTTTGTGTATTAAACTGTGATGGAATTAGTAGCATAAGGAGTTTGACACTTCGCCTAAGTCATTTCGCATGATATCCCATGAAAGAGTTCTAAGCAAGAGTTGAGCTGTAATCATAATATAATTGGAAGGAAAGCAACCTAGATCAATAAGCAGCTAAAAGCAAAACTAGCCGCTACATACGCCATACCAACACATAAGTGACAGATCTTCAATTACCCTAGAAGACATCGGAAATAAATGAATATATGATATTTTAAATTCACAAGTACAAAATTGCCACACAAGGCAAAGGAAAATGTGCAGAAATAAAGCAGCGCATCCAAAAGCATTTTCAACGGAAAACCTTTCCAGAAACATCTAAAACCATAGAGTTCTAAGAATTATGCAGCAATTAATTCAGGTGACCTCCTGGACTCCAGCCATGACTTAGCTGCTACCTGTGTAGTCAAAAACCAGCCAGCCTGGTCTGGAGCCTCATGGAATGGAGCATCCATTTCCTTCAAACGTGATTCAAGTACACTTGCCAAACCTTTGTCTGAATACTTGTGTTTTCCATGTCCAGTGTTAATTCCAAGCAGTGGTGGAAGGTCCTCTCCTGATTCCAAAGTCTTGGACAGGTCATTTATCCAAACATGTAACGCAGTAAGAGCAGCTCCAAGAGAGAGGCTCTTCAAATGCAAAGCCCACTGAGTTTGAGACCTGGACTGTATATCTGAATATATTTCAAGTGCCAGCCCCATGTCCAATAGTTCAGATGCCCTCTCCAACTTGTTCAAGTTAACACAGAGATCAATTAAACAGTTGCAAAAGGCCTTCTTTACTTCAGCATCAATTGAATCAAATAGTTCTGATGATTCCTTTCTAAAGTTTCCATCATCCTCCGGGCCTCCCACCAAATATCTTACCACAGATCCTAGCTTTGGATTAGCCTTGTCAACACAATCCGTAAGCTTACCAAGTTCTTCTTTTGGTGCTAGGGTCATAACATTCAGAAGGCAACCACTAAAGCGGTCATCAGGGACAATCCCCAAATCCAAGAGTCGATAGAAAGTCTTCACAACATCATCAGTACGCTGGGCCTTTCCATAGCACTGCACTATTGATGTCAAAACAAATATATTAGGCTCAAATCCAGATTCTATCATTTCATTCAGCATCCCTTCTGCCTCAAGTACTTTCCCACTGCAGGAATATATGGTAATCAAAGATGAAAATGTCCAACTGTCAGGCTTACAAGTTCCTGAACTTTTCATGTCCTCAAAAATTTCAACTGCTTCTTCTGTACATCCAACATCAGCACACATAGCTAACAGGGTGTTGTAGAGAACCATATTCAATTCCATTCCCTTTTCCTTCATTTCCTTATAAACATTGAGAGCGTCTTCACTGTACCGTGATCTACAATAGGCCCGTAAAAGAGATGCATACGTTGCAAAATTGGGTGTAAATCCATTACTAATCATCTCCCTATATATATTCTTGGCCTGCCAGGGCCTCTTAGCTCTCCCCATGGCATCCAACAGAGTGTTATATACGACCATGTTAAGCTTAGCACCAAGAGCCTTCATCTCTTCATAGACATTTAAGCATCCATCATAATTTCCCGACATCCCATACATCTTAATCAATGTTGAGAACGTTACTGTATCAATGCGCCATTTCTCTGTTCTGGCACGATCATATAGGCTCAAAGCCATGTCAACATTACCAGCCCGCCCATAGGCATCTATAATAGCTGAGTATGTGACATCGTCAGGTTCACACCCAAAGCTAGGCATCTTCTCGAACCATTCCACAGCTTTCATTGGCATAGAACACATCCTAGCACAGCTTATAATAGTTGAAAAAGTGACATTATCAGGTTTAACTCCTCTCTCGAGCATTTCATCAAATAGCTTCTGCGCTTTATCATATTCTCTACACTTTCTAAACACCTTCAGCGTCACATTGTAGAGAATCACCTCCCTGCTCGGTTTAATCTTCTGCTGGAACAATTTAAGAGCAACCGGGGCAGTTTCGGGATTTTCCATATTATTGAGAACAACCACAGCGTCTTGTTCTAATATCTTATCCCCTAGTCCTCCCAAAATTTCCGACACTCCTTGTTCACTAGGACTACACGAGTTCAAGGACTCGGCTGTTTTAAGAAGAAAATTGTACCTGGAATCATACGATCTTTTCATAAGCTGTTTGGCTCTCGGGCTTCTAGGATTGACCCAAATGTAGCTTTTCGACGAAGGAGATTTTCCAATTAAGCCGTCCTGATTTTCTTCATCCACAAAGTTGACGTCTTCAGCTGTTGCTTGTGTGATTGGTTCTTGTAAGGAGACATGATTGACATGGAGAAGTGCTCTGGATTGAGGCGAAAGAGAAGTGACTTTATTTGAGTGAGTAAAGGTTCGAACTTTAAGCTTGTGCAAAGAACACAAGGAGCTACAGAAGGATTGGCGATCGTGGAGGAAAGAGGAAGGGGGAGAGCAAAGATGGTAAGCCATTTTCCTTCGCTCTCGCGGTCTCTTGTGATGACTGTAAGAGGAGAAAGAAGCAAAGCCTTATCGAAGGAAGCTGAAGAATAACTCATAAATTTACGATATTAACCTTAGCTGTGTAATGCTCTCATACGTGATAAATGCGGTAGGGGCGTGGACTCAATTGTCCATTCACTATCAAGAAATTAAAATATCTACCACCTCTTTTATCTTCGGAAATTAACATTTCAAGATCTCCAAGAGGAAAACCACTTTGGTTGAATCGAAACGTCTGATCTCCAAGATTACAACCTGAGGCTAACCTAAACCAATAATATTATATACTTATTTTATTAAAAAATATAAGACATTGCATCAGAGAAAAGTATATAAGACATTTTTTAGATTAGATACTAAAAATATAAAGCTTTTTTAATTTTTTTAATGCATAAATAATATTAGTTTAATGGCAATAACTAATTTATTGGAGACGTAATTAAATTAAAAATATCTTATATTTTTTAAAAAGAAGGAATGTAATGAAAATCACATCCCACTACATAATTGTGGTGTATTTAGTTTTAATTTCTTCTTGCAAAATTAATATAATAGAGGATAACCAATTTGCTAATAACTTCTTCATTATTGATTCCTGTGCATAAATTTAATTAACCGAATTGGAGAATTGCATGGTTGAATGAATTTAGTTGCTGGCAATCTTTTCTATTCAACAAACAAGATATATAAGATTAAAAAGAAAATGCTGCATGAAAATTGCTTGGATCATACATAAAAAGGAAAAACCTAAAAAACAATGACTTTTATATAAAACATTTCTTTGTTGCTTCTAAGAGAAGAAACCGAAAAAATGTTTTAAAATGCAAATGAACTATGGGGGAAAGCAGTTCGCCTGCTGAGAGAGGTATAACCATGATTGCACCACATTTCCACAAATTCAACATAAATATATAACTGAAACCTATATAAGCTAGCTGAGAAGTTGAACATATGAAAGAAATTAAAGCGATGGAGAAAATGCTGTGAAGCATGAAAAGCAACGTGGTAATTAACAAGATGGTAGTTAGGCAAGAAGTGTTGCATTTGCGTCGTAACCCTATAAGATAGGAAATTAGCAGAGGATTTGTAGCAGAAATATAAGCTCTTCAAAAGCATGGTACCCATACTTTACTTCCCATTTCGAAGCTCTCTGCGACACTTTTTCAAAGAAACCTATTTTTGAATCAAATCATGCAAATAGTACGTACCTTTCACAACCTCTTCCAGCTTTCTCACTCATCTCCTCCAATTTTAATTTATTTCCAGGAACTATCTGTGTGATTATCAGACTGACCCATCCAACAAGTGTACTATTTAAGAACTTCATCGCATCTAACATGCTTACTTTAATTAGTTTCCTTGATCGCTTCAAGCTAAGATGTTGGATGTGGAAGTGATGGGAAACAAGAAGAGGAAGAGATGTGGGAGGGTTTTTAGATTCAAAAACTTTGGAGAGCCTGGATATCCTGTGGAATTTACAGGGCCATTTCGTGACAACGTGAATGCTTTGCTTGAGTTTGCCAATTCTGAGTCTAAGTACTTAGGGTTTGGAAGAATGCCTATATGGTCTTTCCAACTTGAGGTTCATCGTCACCCTCCTTCTCATATCTTCTTGTTCGTCATCGAAGAAGCAACTGAAGCATCATCTATGAACCGCCACTGCAAGCACTGTCAATATGTAGGTATGCTTCTTTTCTTTTGCACGAAAGAATCTTTCATATAGTCTCAGATAGATAGATCACTAAATTAATTATGTTTTACTCTTGATATGTTGTGTGCTGGTTTGGGACTTGGTTTGAACTTATATTAGGATGGGGAAACCATTTCATATGCAATAAGAAGTATCACTTTGTGTTGCCATCAAAGGAGACATTGGCTACAAGTCTGAGCTGTGAAGAAGTGCCGTGTGAAGCAATTGCTGAAGCAGGGGCTATGATGAGCAACAATAATAATGGTAAGTCAAAATTAATAGAATTACAGGGCCATATGATGCAAGCTGTTTTTCACTCTAATGGATTCGGGCATTTGCTCTGTGTCAATGGCCTTGAAACCGGGTCGGATCTTGCCGGACATCAGATCATGGACTTTTGGGACCGCCTCTGCACCGGGTTGCAAGCAAGGTCAGATATGCCTACCAAACTAATAAGGAGATTACATTCTGAAAATTAATGGTCCATATACATAGCTATATGTATGTAGATACTCCTCCAGTTTTATTTCCAAGGTGTTTAGGGCATCTTTCACATGCTTTAAAAAAATTATTATGTTATTTTTTGGTTAACCTTTATCCCAACTTTATATAGTTATAACCATATCAAAAATGGGGGAAAAATGATAGGTCATCTAGTAATCTATGGGGCTAGAAACATCTAATGTATTTTTCTCTAATATTTTTTATAATTGTCTATCTTTTGAACTTCATTTTTTTTGAATCATTGGCCTCTATATAAAATAAGAGATATATTGAAATCTTGAAGCCTAGAGACATAAGAATTTTGTATTTTTTTGTGATTTTTTAAAGAAAAATATCAAAATTATATACACTTTTATCTTTGAGAAAGTTCATAGAAAACACAAAATTTTACCATTTCAAGATTTTAAGATATTAAAATATTTCATATTTCATATAAAAATCAATGATCCAAAAGAAAAAAAAACATAATGGAAAGATTAGATAAATGCATATTTAGAAGCCCCTAACCCCAGTAATGCTTTCTCTCTCATGTAATTATGGCAAGATTGTTCCAATTTTTTGCTCAACACCTAATAATTATAAGTAAGGACTACTTTTTATGTTTGTAAAATATCTTGTTATAAATAGAATTAGAGAAAGTATAACTTAATTAGCATTTTATAATAAATTATTTTTAGTTTTCACTGATTTATATTATCTTTTTTCCAATTTAATTATTCAGCACTTAGGTTGACTTTTAAATGTTAGATGCAATCTTACCACAATATAGTTCATCAATTATCATCCCAAATTTTAGAAAGTGACATCTGATTTCTTTGATCATATGCATTCATATATAGGAAAGTGAGCTTGAATGATGTCTCACAGAAAAAAGGCATGGAATTGAAACTTATCAACGGAATAGCATATGGTGAGCCATGGTTTGGACGTTGGGGCTACAAATTTGGAAGAGGATGCTTTGGTGTGACTCAATCCACATACGAGAAGGCAATTGAAGCAATCAGAAGCATCCCACTTTACCTTCTGATCCACCAAATTGGCAACTCCTCTTACCATGACATACCAATCATCCTCTCAAGGTATCAAACACTCTCAGATCAAACCCTAGTCACACTTGCTGACCTGTTTCACTTCATGTTAGAGCTCAAATCTCAGCTTCCTCGCCGGGAAAACTACCCCGATTCCCATAACACCGGCTTCTCTCTCGAGGCTAATTGCCGTTGGTCCCCAAAAAGGATCGAAATGGCGACTAGGGTTATTGTTGAAGCCTTGAAAAGAGCTGAGTTCAGGTGGATTTCAAGGCAAGAGGTTAGGGATGCTGCAAGAGCGTACATTGGAGACACTGGTTTGCTAGATTTTGTGTTGAAATCTCTGGGAAACCACGTTGTTGGGAACTACATGGTTCGTAGAAGCTTGAATCCTGTCACGAAAGTTCTTGAATATTGCTTGGAAGACATCTCCAATATTGTCTTCCCCAGTCATCTTCATTATCATCATCAAGATCACGGTGGTAATAATAATAATTTGGTCATGGTGAATAACACTAACAAAAGCATAAAGGACAAGAAGTACAAAATCAGTAGGGCTCAAGTGATGAAGGACATGTTTTATTTGTACAAGTACATCCTCAAAGACCCCAAACAAACACAAGGATCAATTTTCTCAGCAATTCCACTGGCAGCGAGAATAATACTTGATACAAAGTATCTGATCAAAGAGTACTTCGGGGAGCTTCCATTTCAAGCTGATCTAGGGTTGGACGGAAAACTAAGTCTTCACTGTACAATAACGTTGAGAAACTACGACAATAATGACCCGAACAAAGTGTTAATGGCGCCACCCTACGAGTGTATCACATTGAAAAGTAGCGCCACCATTAATGACCTGAAGCTTGAAGTTGAGAGAAACTTCAGAGAGATATATTATGGATTAAGGAGTTTCTGTGTGGATTCGATAAAGAACTTGGAAAATTGTGGGGGGAATGATATGGTGTTTGGGACGGTGGAAGTGGGTGGAAAGCTAGTGGTTGAAGGATGGATAGATATTAACATTGGAGACAACATAAGTAACATCATAGGAGAGATCTGCGAAGGTAATTATGATAATAATAATGGGAAGGTTGTGGATTGTAGTTGTGGGACTAAAGAAGATGATGGAGAGAGAATGGTGTGTTGTGACATTTGTGAAAATTGGCAGCATACGAGGTGTGTTCGGATTCCGAATGATGAACAGGTTCCTTCCATATTTCTCTGCAGAAGGTGTGAACAAGAAATTGTTATGTGCCCTTCGTTGCCCTAGATATATATATATATATATTGTGTCTAGTTGATTATCATATCATATATATATATATATATATATATAGTTCTGCTGCAAAACCAAATTCCAATTTAATTTGTAGTCTCTCTGGTTTAGTTTCTTCGCGAATGCTCTGAAAGAAAGAATAACGCTTGCATTTACTGATGTTTTTTTTTTCAATTGTAAATTAATTTATTTCAACTTCACAATATCTGCAATTATTTGTTAAAGAAGAGCAATTGAGTTGATATATATATATATATATATATATATATCATTTTCTTAAGATTATTGGCTTTATCATAAGCAAATTATTGTAGCGTAATGTTAAGATTACAAAAAATTGAATAGAAAGAAAAAAAAAATTAATGATTAAATTCTTGATGATGATTATACATTGCAATAACATAACCCTACATTCGGAGGATCAATAACAAAAATTCATCCCTTAACATAAAGATGAAAATACAACTTCAAACTTTGAAGGGAGGGCTAAGTTAACCTCCCTCTTGAGCTAGAATTTGAACTTGGCCCCTAACCTCTAAATAAAATATGACACCCTTTATATAGAATTTCGAATCTACAACTAACTAATGTGATTAACACTAATCATACATTAATATTCTAATATTCCAACACACCTAGAAATTGGTGCGTGGCACTTGCAATATTTGAAGAGAACTTATGTATATATACACACACACACATATCTAAATTAATGCGATATGAGTAGCCAATAAATTTATATACCCAACAGACGACACATTTTTATTTAACTCTAATTAACTTGTAATATATCATATATATGACTATATAATTATATTCTCCACTAATAAAATTTCAATTTTGTTTGACAGTGATACGTATGGAAAGATAGTAGATGATACTAAGTAATCAAGAAATCACAGTTTCTCTCTCAATATCTTTTACAATTCTAATTCCTAAGCCCCAAAATAGCACAGTTTTATACTTCAAGCAATGTCCACACTCTATTAACGACACAACTCAAAGAAAAGTTTTCAATTAATGGCATGATTAAGAAACTAATCCCTATACTTCTGTCTAGTTAAATTTCCCTTAATATGTACTTTTTTTTTTTTTGGTTTTCACGCTCATGCACAGTCTCTGTATATATAGTTTATTCTTAATTGGTCCAAGTTGTATTAAACTTGACTTCTACAATCTAGCCGCCTCTTCTATATATTTATGTTTTTGGACGCCATGACTTGCCAAATGTGCACCTCAACAACTTTTCAAGTTAGGAAAATGAATGCAATGACTAATTGTTCCAGTGGCAATGCCACTTCATTTATTTATAGATAAGGTCCTGAGTTTGAACCGCATTAACATATTTGTGTGTATAGATGTGTATTTACATCCCTCTCCTACAGAGAAGGGCTAGATTAAGAGTAAAATTAAAAAAAAGGTCAGAAAAATGAATTTGCTATATGTGTGTGTGTGTGTGATAAAACGAGATGCATAATATTTAATATATTTTTATAAATAATAATTTTTTTGGCCAAATTATAAATAATAATTTTATTTTATTTTCTAGTGAATGACTTGAATATTATTTTTTATTTATAAAATTGTTATTTTACATTTTGCATTAACCCCGTTTATTTACATATTCATACACAACAAAAGGTTTATAAAGTAAAGCTGATCAATATAGAAATAAATACCTATGTTGACAAGAAAGCGAATTATGAAAAAAAGCAAGAATCAAATTTCTATTTATCCATATAAATTTGAGGTTGCATATATGCTTCACTTTATTATAAGGAAAATTATAAACAAATCCTAAATTAATTAATTAATTAATTATTTTCTTAATCCTATTTACATATCAATCTAGTATATTTGTATTTGTAAATAACATAAGACATATAAATTTGAGACCTGTATAAGTGTGTGTGTACAATGTCCCTATATTATATTGAATCAATAAGTTTTAAATAAATAAATAATTGGATCCTCTATGAAAACAATTGAGATTATTTCATATAATTATAAAATTCACTTCTAAAACAATTATTTTTATCAAATATTAATTGCCAATCATTTTCATAAATAAATAATGAATGCAGTAACTTATAAACACTATTACAAAAAATCTTTGCTAGAGTGATTATTTTTGACCTACGAGAGCACTTACAATTTACAAAGCACTCCTACATATATCAACCTATGAGAGTGCTCATAGTATATCTGCTCCCATGTAGATGTACCACTGGGGATTTTTAAAAATAATTGATAAAGTAAAACATTTTAAATAATCAAATCCAACAAAATAGTATATCAATTCAACCAAATAAAAATTTTGCAGCATAATGCAACTAAAATCCATCAAGCAATATTATAATTTATCTTTAGTTTATCTATTAGCCTTAAAAAAAGAATTCCAATATGAGCATATTAAAATATTTCATAAATGAAGCAAAAAAAATTAAGCAAGAGTTTCCTCTCAAATTTCAACTTCCCATACTTCAATAATAATCACTTTCAATTTCAAAATCTATTAAAACTAAAATAAGAGTAACATAATGTCATAGCAAAATTAACCAATATCACAAATTACTATTATCAGACTTATATTATTATTATCATAGATATATTTTGATTGCTTTATGCGGCTTTGAATTAGTCTCAGCTAAGTGTACAAGTGTGTGTTTTTTAGTCTGAAAATGCTAAACATAAAAATTTCAAGTTGAAGATCAACTGATATGAGACAAGAGTCACAAAAAAATTTACTATGAACACAATTTTTCTATATATTATCAATCATAAATTATTTACACACACATATTAATTATTCATTTAAAAAAACCTGGGGTGCATGACAATTTCCATGCAACCTTCGATGACGTGCAACGCGGTGGCTAGGAAGAACCAAGTTCAAGAGATGACAATCTGTTCGGCAAGATTTGGGCCAATTTGTTCTTCGATAAGTTTTAGGCCCAACAACACAACTTTGACGGTGAGCTAATCGAGTTCGGCGAGTTCGCATTGAGAAAGAGAGAGAGGAGAAGAAAGAAGGAGAATGGGAAATCTGATACGAAGGAAAATATATGAACTATAAAAAAAAATTAATTCTAATTTTTGACATTTCAAAGACCTCGTTTAAAGAGCTCTCAATGAGGCCTTTATAAATATTCTTTAAAGGTTGACAATTTTTTTAATTAATCTTTAGGAGTGTCCATTTTCAAAGTGCTCCTAAAGATAAGGCCTTCCGAAACAATTTTTAAAAAAACACTCTGAAATGTAAGCCTTTTAAAAGCGCTCTTTTATAGAGAGCTTTGACAAGGTCAAGTGATTTTATTTTTCTAAAAAAATTAATTTAAACTAAGTTTTAATTTTTTGAAAAAAATTTATTGATGGCTTTAGGAGTATTACATTAATAAAGTGCTCTTAAAGACAACTTTACTAGTGTGCTTTTTAATAAAAGTGTTCTAGTATATTCTGCCATCCAATTTGGCAGCACATTTTTATGTAAGTACCTCAAAAAGACATGCTTAGAAAGTTAATTTTTATAGCAGTAAAAATGTTCAATTTCCTTTGCTAAAAAGCAATGACATCTCTCTGCAGAAATAAATCGTGAATATTGCTAATATAATGTAACATTATTAAAAAAATGACATTAAGGGCCTTAAAAACATACATTATTACATTTTGTGCTTGAAAAATTTTTTTGATATTGCACTACAAGCCTTGGGGCTTTTATTGCAATTTTTCTTCACACTAAAAATATAATTTTACCCTTTATGACAAGAAATGGAAATGAACGAACATAGAGTAGTGGGACTGATGACAAATGTGGGAACGGTACTCAGTTGGACGATGTGAAGGTTTCTCAACTTTAATGGCAAGGAGTAACTTTCAATATGCATAGATTTCAAAATCCCTCCATTTTAAGCAGTGCTTTAGTTGAAAATTTGTCTATAGAGCTTTGATTAAGGATGCTATCTATCATTTTTATATTGAAACAGGAAAGAGCTGACAATTGAACCACAAGCAAAGAGTGATATAACGTTTTGTTAGCTTTCAATATTTGTTGCTGTTGATTACTTCTTGCCTGGCCATGTTTTCTTCATTGAACCACAAGTAGAGAGCGATGGAATAAGCTTGCTGGCTATTTAGCCCTGTATAAATTAATAAGAGGATTGTCCAAAATAGTTGAATTTTAGCCAAACATTTAGTTGGATGCATGGGAAAAACTTTGGTTGAAATTTTAGTTGTAATTTTACTATTGATGTAAGCTAAAGGTTACTGAACCATTAAGTTGGCTGTGAAAGTTTTAGAATGGATTAGTTATTGTACAATAATGATAATTAACTTATTCATATTGGACTTTAACATGTTAATTGAATAAAATATGACTTAATATGAAGAAAATCTGCTATCAAGAATTTTGAAATATTTGTTGGACAAAAATAACTTTAAGGAGTTGTTGTTGAATGTTAAATTGTGTATTTTGTTAAGCCAATCTAATGATAAACTAGAATCACTTGGATTTTCAATTGATAATGTATTAACTTTGTATTATGCATAGTAAATTTTGTGTTGTACATTATTTGCCTGATTTGAACATTTTGTTAAGTATAACATCCCAAAAAAATTAACCTAAGGTTAATTAAGTTAATTTAGAGCAAATGAGTAATTTTGGAGGAATATTGAGATATAAATAATTTTAGTTAGAAAATTATTATTGGATTTAATTTAGATTAAAATCCTAAGTTATGATCTTATAATAAATAGAAATAGTAATGATAATATTATTAAAAAAAGAAGAAGGAAAAGGAACATAAAATAAATTGAAAATTAAAGGGGGGAGAGAAGTAATTTTTGCTTTGGGTGTTGAGGTGTAAATAATACAAAAAAATACATGAAATGAAGAGATGTGGCAGACAATTCAGCGTGCATAAATTAATAAAAGACAAAAAAAAGGTGAGGAGTAAAGGCCATAGGACCCATACCTTTTTTTAAAAAAAACCACTCAT